CACTCACCTCAGCCTCCCAAAGGCGCAGGATTACAGGCTGAGCCACCGAGCCCGGCGCCTATTATTCTTTTAATTTGCTATATAATTGTTTTTGTTTATCTGTTCTACATTTCCTGAAGAAATTTTTAAACGCTTTTTGAAAAAAAAGGAAGCCAGGTTCAGTGGCTCAGACTGTAATCCTAGCACTCTGGGAGGCCAAGGCGAGTGGACTGCTTGAGCCCGCGGGTTCAAGACCAGCCCAGGCAACTTGGTGAGACCTCATCTCTACAGTAAATTAAAAAAATTGCTGAGCGTAGTAGCACATGCCTGTAGTTCTGGCTACTTGGAAGGGTGAGGTGGAAGGATCACCAGAGCCCAGCAGGTCGATGCTGGGGTGGCCAAGAGTGTGCCACTGCACTCCAGCCTGGGTGAGAGTGAGACTCCAACTAAGAGAAAAAAAAAGAAAAGAAAAGAAAAAAAAGGAAAAATGATATATGGTATGTTCCTACTTTAAATTAAAATGATAGCCGGGCTTAGTTGCTGTAATCCCACACTTTGGGAGGTTGAGGTGAGTGGATTGCCTGAGCCCGCGGGTTCAAAACCCGCCTGGGCAACTTGGAGCGACCTCATCTCTACAATAAATCAAAAAATTAGCCGGGCATGGTAGCGCACGCCTGTAGTTTCAGCTACTTGGAAGGGTGAGGCGGAAGGATCGCCGGAGCCCAGCAGGTCGAGGCTGCGGTGGCCGGGAGCGGCCACTGCACTCCAGTCAGGGTGACAGAGTGAGACTCCAACTCAAAAAAACCCAAATTAATCAAAATGATAAAAACTTTTAGGAGTTGGGCATGGTGGCTCACACCTATAATCCCAGCACTTTGGAAGGCCAAGGTGAGAGGACTGCCTGAGTTCATGGGTTTGAGACCAGCCTGGGCAACCTGGCAAGAACTCATCTCTACAATAAACATAAAAAAATTAGCCAGGTGTGGTGGCACATGCACCTGTAGTTCCAGCTACTTGGAAAGCTGATGCGGAAGGATCACCTGCCCAGCAGGTAGAGGTGGCGGTGGCTGTGAGCATGCCACTGCACTCCAGCTTGGGTGCCAGAGTGAGACTTCGATTCAAAAAAACCCCCAAACTTTTAAGAAGAGATAAAAGACTGGAAGAATGCATGAAACTGATAATATTATCTGAGTGGGAGAATTCTTATTAACTTCAATTTCTTTCAACATTTTTCTGTACTTTCATTGTTGTACTACAATTAACAGAAAATATACACATAATGCTAATGACCAACTTAAAAACAAATTTAAAGTAATTCTTTTAAAATTATACATTTAGTTAAACAGGAAAACTAATCAAATGACCAGAATGCAAATCCATAAATCAGATGAAAAATACTTCATTAATGTTTAGGAATTTCCATTGTCTTGACATAATTATGTTTAGAGAACCAGGTTTTAAATCCTAATGTTGTTCTTAAAAACAACTGTTGACTGAACAAAATCAATGAAATAAAACACAAACTTGGAAAAAAAAAAATCAGACAAATACTAAAATTGAAGACTCACCTATGTGAATGTTAATTTCTGGACAATCCTTTTCCCGTCGGCTAACCAGATCTGTATATTAGTAATGGGTTCCAGGTTGTTCAGTGGAACAGCGGACAAATTATTTTTATTTTCTACTTCAATATTCTTTGCTTTAGAAACGATTTTTGGTGTGCCACTAAGAAAATTCAGACAACAAAATTAGACACGTTCTTCCATTTAGCAGAATTTTATCATTAAATAATTACTATAAAAATTTTACATTAAGCATAGCTTTTGGGAAGATTTTTGTAAGTTATAGCTATTCCTCAATAATAACAGAAAGACAGAACTTTGCAGCAACCTGGATGGAAGTAGAGTCTATAATACTAGTGATTTATCACAGAAACAAAGTTCTGAATACCACACGAACTCTCTCATAAGTGGACCTTCAGCATTTATCATAATGCCATAAGAAAGGGATTGGCAGGAGTGGGACACTGCCAGGAGAGGGGGGCACACAACGTCAATAAAGGTACCCACACTTTACTTGTATGATGACCACATATGTGCCTAACCCTCATTTGTGCTCACATTTTAAAAATAAAATAATTTTTAAAAATAATAATAACAGAAAGATATATTAGTTATGCCCCCAATATGCAATGGTTCTAAGAATCTCATAAAATTATGCATATCCAAGTGATTTGTAAGATTGTGGAGTGCTACATAAATATATTGTTTCAAGTGTTATTTGAGTAGTGCTTTACAAAACAGATAATTTTAGAAGGTTCATAGATCTATAGACTTAAACTTTTAATGCACAGGTTAAATTTCTAAAAGAAAGGACAAGTTATCTATAGAAATTAGTCCTTGTGCTATAATGGAAAGGAAAGTAAACAAAGTATTTCTTGATTATTCTGAAAAACACACCCAGTTATTTTTATAAGTATGTATGAATATGCATGTACCTTGTCAATCTCAATAATTAAAACACAAGAATTCATAAAAATCAAAGTGCTCCCATATCTACTCTCTTTGCATATTCTGTCATAAAGCATAGTTAGATAAAACTTAAAAATAACTAAAGGCTTAGATACTGATAGTTATTTTATCAGGCATATTTTCATTTTCATTACCTCAAAATTCATATGCTGATCACAGAACACAATGTTGCAGGCACTAGTAACTATAAAATAGAACCATAAGCCGGGCTCGGTGGCTCAACCTGTAATCCTGTGCCTTTGGGAGGCTGAGGTGAGTGGATTGACTGAGCCCGCGGGCTCGAGACCCGACTGGGCAGCGAGACCTCATCTCTACAATAAATAAAAAAATCAGCCAGGCGTGGTAGCGCATGCCTGTAATTCCTGCTACTTGGAAGGCTGAGGTGGAAGGATCGCCGGATCCCAGCGGGTTGAGGCTGCGGTGGCCGGGAGCGGCCATTGCATTCCAGTCTGGGCGACGGAGTGAGACTCCAACTCAAAAAAAAAAAAAATAGAACCATAATATTCACATGTACTAGCATATGTACTCTATAGCGTTAATGGCAAAGCTCACATGGGTGCAAGGGAGAGAAAAGGATTTATTCATTAAATTCTGTCCTTAATAAGCTAGACTCTTAGTTTGATAAAACAGGCTGGGTGTGGTGGTTCATGCCTATAATCCCAGCACTTTGAGAGGATGAGGTGGGAGGATTGCTTAAGTCCAGGAGTTCAAGACCATCCTGGGCAATGTAACAAGACCCTATTTCTATTACAAAAACAAAAAATGAAAGCCTCCATGACTTTTTCATGTAGTGCTGATATATCTTAATGTATACTAAGTAAACATGATTTAGGAGTCCTCATAAAAATTAACATTAAAAAAAATCTCATTTTCAGTGGGAGAAACGATAAGCTCTATTTATGTGGTCTACATGGGTAAAATAATGACAGAATGAATTCTTCTGTTTATGGAAAAAAGACAATAAGCACACTTACCTTCCCAGTCTGTGACCCTGTCCTGAAAAGGGCTGGAACACAGGCTTTGTAGACACACATACTTCATTTTTCTTATCTTCGACTTTAACATCCACCTCTTCTTTATCAAAAATTCCCTGTAATTCTGAAGGTAGTTCCCTTGGGACAAAAAAATATATATGATAACGCTCTCAATGTTTTTTTTTTATTTTCCTGGAAAACATTCTATATGTAAAAACACTGGATGATATGTAGAAGTATAATATATATGAATAAGAGGCATATAATATTCCCTACAATGAAATAACTAAGTGGATTTAAAACAATATAGTTAAATAAAATGAACAAGCCAGGTGTGGTGGCTCAAGCTGTAATAACAGCACTTTGGGAGGTAGAGGTGAGAGAGGACTGTCTGAGCCCAGGGGTTTGAGACCAGTCTGAGTAGCATGGCAAGACAACTTCTCTACAATAAATAAAAAAATTAGCCAGGCATGGTGGTGCTTTCCTGTAGCCTCAGCTATTTGGAAGGCTGAGGCTGAAGGATTGTTTGAGCCCAGCAAGTCGAGGCTGCGGTGGCTGTGAGGGTGCTACTGCATTCCAGTCTGGGTAACAGAATAAAATAAAATAAAAGTAAATAAAATAAAATGAACGATGCCAAAAACACCAGAACAATATAATTTCTAAGACCATAAATTCATGAACAGCATGAGTTATTTTATTTTATTTTTGGGGGGGTTGGAGTCTCACCCTGTCACTCAGGCTGGAGTACAGTGGTACGCTGCTTGCAGCCACCACAGACTCGATCTGCTGGGCTCAGGTGATCCTTCTGCCTCAGCCTTCTGAGTAGCTGGAACTACAGGCACAGGCCACCATGCCTGGCTAATTTTTTGATTTATTGTAGAAATGAGGTCTCACCACGTTGCCCAGGCTGGTCTCAAACCCGTGGGTTCAGGCAATCCTCTCACCTTGGCCTCCCAAAGTGCTGGGATTATAGGCGTGAGCCACCATGCCCAACAGACAGCATGAGTTTTATAGAAATACCTAGAAAAGTACTAAAGTCATGAAATATTTGATGACCACATACTGCTAAATTTAAACACTTTAATCATTTTGTAAGATAGAGTATCACAATGTTGCACAGGTTGCACAGTTTGCAACATTTTTATAGGTGTCTGAATAAGAATAAAAATGTACTAGAAAAATCGAATTCTCAGTCAAGCGTGGTGGCTCATGCCTGTAATCCCAGCACTTTGGAAGGTGGAGGTGAGAGGATTGCCTGAGCCCATGGTTTGAGACCAGTATGGGCAACATGGTGAGACCTCGTTTCTATACTAAATAAAAAAATTAGCTGGACATAGTGGCACATCCCTGTAGTTCCAGTTACTTGGAAGGCTGAAGTGGAAGGATTGCCTGAACCAAGCAGGTCGAGGCTGTGGTGGTTGTGAGTACGCCACTGTACTCCAGCCTGGGAGACAAAGTGACTTTGACTCAACAAAACAAAACAAAACAAAAAATCAAGTTCTCATTTCAATTTTTAAATAAAAATAGAAATTTACTTTGGAAATGACAAAGGTAAAATACCAAACATATTAGAATTTTAAAAAGTTTTCCATGTTTAATCCTCTTAACAGAGAGATTTAAGTAACATAGTCAGGATTTGGACTTAGTCTGGGCTTTGTCAAGTATACCACTGATGTTTCTCTTTTGAACAATGTAAGCTCCAAGCTAGGAGGGACCAAATTCATTTTACTCTCAAACATTCCAATTCCAGGAATAGTGCCTAGTGCAACAGCAGGACCTGGAAAAACATTGTTGAATGTTATCTTTTACAGGTAAAGTATTTTGAAATGAGTACTTGAAAGTTTACAATGTTGGCCGGGTGCAGTGGCTTATGTCTGTAATCCCAGCACTTTGGGAGGCGAAGGTGAGAGGACTGTCTTGAGCCCAGGGGTTTGAGACCGGCCTGGGCAACTTGACAAGACTTCATCTCTACAAAAAGTCAAAAAAATTAGCCCGGCATGGTGGTGTGTGACTGTAGTTCCAGCTATTTGAAAAGGTGAGGTGGTAGGACCACCTGAACCCAGGAGGTCGAGGCTGTGGTGGCCATGAGCGTGCCAATGCACTCCAGCCTGGGTGACAGAGTGAGACTCTGACTCAAAAGACCAACAAAATAAAACAAAACAAAACAACAAAAACACAACAAACAAAAATACCCAACAGAAAAAAGAAAGTTTACAATGTTATAAAATATAAAAGCACTGAACTTCCATGGGGAAGTTGTAACAAAGGATAAATTTTAACATAGTCTTATAAAATAATTTTTTCTGAAGACAGAAATAATATACATTTATTTAGGATATACTTACGCTTTTGTGATTTTGGATATATCAATGATTTGTGTAAAATTTCTTATTGAAGTATGTAAGTCATACTTCATGTAAGTCATACTTAAATAAGAAAGCTTTAACACTTTTAATTGAAAAATAGATCTCTATACATATAGCAACTCTATATAATTTTTTTTCATTTGGATTGAAAGGCTCTCAAAGACTGAGAGAAAATATTTGCAAATCATGCATCTATCTGATAAGGAAATTTGTACTCAGAATATATAAAGAGCTCATACAACTCAACAAAAGGGCAAAAATCTCTAATCTAAAAGATAAGTACAGAAAAAACAATGGACAAAGGATTTAAATAGACATTTCTCCAAAGAAGATATACAAATGACCAATAAACATATGAAAATGACATCACTGTTATTAGAGAAGTGCACAAATGCACATCAAAACCAGAATGACATACCCCTTCACACATACTTGGATGGCTATAACTAAACAACAACAACAAAAACAGACACTAACATGTATTAGTGAGGATGTGTAAAAACAGGAACCCTCATACACTGCTGGTGGGAATGTTGAATGGCACAGCCACTTTGGAATACAGTTTGGCAGTTCTTCCTAAAACTATACATAGAGTTAACAAACCCATCCTGGATATATATACCTGAGAGAATTGAAAAGATATGACCACGCAAAGACTGGTACACAAATGTTCCTAGTAGCATTATTCATAATAGTCCAAAATATAGAACTGATCCAAATGTCTAAGCACTAATAAATGTATAAACAGGGTCGGGTACAGTGGCTCAATCCTGTAATCTCAGCACTCTGGGAGGCCGAAGAGAGAGGATTGCCCGAGTGCAGGGGTTTGAGACCAGCTTGGTCAACTTGGTGAGATCTCAGCTCCACAACAAATCAAAAAACTAGCTGGGTGTGATGGCATGTACCTATAGTTCCAGCAACTTGGAAGGCTGAGGTGGAAGGATCACCTGAGCCCAGCAGGTCAGGGCTGTGATGGCCGTGAGAGTGTCACTGCACTATAGCCTGGGCGACAGAGTAAGACTCTGACTCAAAAAATAAAAAATAAATGGATAAACAAAATGTGGCACAACCATATAATGGTATACTATTTAGAATAGCAATAAAAAGGAATGAAAAACTGATACAAGCGACAACATGGAAGAACCTGGAAAACATTATGCTGAAGGAAAGAAGTCAGACACAAAAGACCACATACCGTATGATTCTACTTATATGCAATGTCTAGAATAGGCAAACCCATACAGAGAGAAAGTGGATGAGTGGTTATGTAGGGCCTGGGAGGGGGAAATGGAGAGAGTGGCTTCCTGTCTCAGATTTCTTTTTGGGGTGATGAAGTGGCTCTGAAATTAGATAGTGCTGATGACTGTACAACTCTGTGAATATACTAAAAAAGACTGAACCATACACTTCAAAGAGATGCATTTCATGGTAGCTTAATTATATCTCAATAAAGCTGTTATCTAAAAAAAATGTAAATACAAGAAAATATTTACCAGATATTTTATCATGGTAAAATTAAAATATTTGCTAATTGTGTTTCTGACAAAGGTCTAACGTCCAGGAACTCAAATGAGCCAAAAGGAAAGATACAGCCCTGTTAAAAAATGGGCTGAGGACATGAATAGACAATTTTCAAAGAAGACATAGAAACAGCCAACAGATACATGAAAAAACGCTCAGTCTCCTAATCATCAGAGAAATGCAAATCAAAACCACACTGAGATACCACCTAACTCCAGTAAGAATGGTCATCATTAATAAATCAAAAAACAACAGATGCTGGCATAGGTGCAGAGAAAAGGGAACACTTCTACACTGTTGGTAGTCCAGCCTCTGTGAAAAATAGTCCAGCCTCTGTGAAAAATAGTGTGGTGATTGCTAAAGGAACTAGAAATTGACCTCTACATGATCTAGCAATCTTTCTGGAAATATTCTTCGAGGAACATAAATTGCTCTACAAAAAAAAAAAACCAAACATCTGCACATACTTGTTTCTTGCCTCACTACGCACAATAGCAAAAACATGGAACCAACCCTACTGCCCATCAAAAGTAGATTGGATAAAGACAAAACGGTACGTACACACGATGGAATATTATGTAGCCATAAAAAAGAATGAAATCATGGACTTTGCAGCAAATTGGATGGAGTTGGAGATAAACAGACTTAGTGATCTATCACAGAAATAAAGAACTTTAACCACAATAACACAAGGGAGGGATTGGCAGTAGCAGGACACTGCCATGGCAGGGGGAACATAAGGTAACATAAAGGGTACCTGGCCCTAAACCAGGGGAAGTGATGACCAGTTGGAGACTCAAACTTCACTTGCATATAGACTACTTATGTACCCAAACCTGACTTGTACCTCACATCTCTATAGTAAAATAGAGCAAAAAAAAAAAAAAGCCAAAAATCCTTAAATTGCCAAGAACCAAATATATATAAAAATTATGAATATCATTGTGATAAAATAATATGCAGATATATTCAAATATTTTATAATGATAAATTCAAAATGTTAAAAAACACACACATATTGTATGTGAATTTTAATCTGGAACAGAAAATGCCAGAATAAATTCAACAAAAATGTTAGAAGCAGTAACTTCTGAGTAGTTAAATTATAAGTGATTCTCAAGTTCCTTTCAATATTTTTTTTTTTTTGAGTTGGTATTTCACTCTGTCACCCAGACTGGAGTGCAGTGGCCACTCCCGGCCACCGCAGCCTCAATTGTTGGGCTCTGGTGATCTTTCTGCTTCAGCCTTCCAAGTAGCTGAAACTACAGGTGCGTGCTACCACACCCAGCTAATTTTTTTATTTATTGTAGAGATGAGGTCTCGCCAAGTTGCTCAGGCGGGTCTTGAA